TCAACTTGTAATGTTAATTTTTAGGCGGAGCTCATTTAATAAAATGAAGTGGTTCGGTATTTAAAGAACAACTTAACATATGAAAACAACTTTGTGATTTATATTGTAAAATGTATTTACATTTGGAACTTTATTCTCAAAATTCTTTCACTAAGCTAACTTTATTCTCAAATGATAACATGGAACTTGAGGTACATACCATACGTAGGGGCGGACCTGTGTTGGGGAAGGATTTGGCATAAACCGCACCATTCTCTCAAAAAACTTTTATAATTTTAAAGGTTTATAGTTGTAAAGTCCTACTCATTAAAAAAGGATAATACTATGACTTTTTAATTTTGAATCTTGTTGATACAAACGATTCAAAAATATAATAGATTCTTTCTACCCATTAATCAAATCTGGTTCCGCCATGCAAACGTGGAGGCTTTGCCATAAACTATATCAAAATGAGACATAATTAATGGATGGGCAAGGCTGGAAACGCAAACATGGATGGGCTTAACTGCAAATAAATCGAGCCCATTTCGAGTTAACTATACTAAGCTACCCTAGCCCAGTCCTTGTTGGGCTAGCTGCCGAATTGCCAATCTAGCAAAAGACTTCATTTTGATCTACAATCCGATTAGGGGGAAGCAAGCAATTAAATGACTCAAATGAGCTTCTAATACTTTACAAGGAGGAATAGTTTCACCCACAAGCAGGTGGACGAGTTGATAAGGACTCTTTCAATTTAATTATAGATCTTGATTTCAAATTTTAAAACTGTAGTTTTGTTAAAACTTGTGAGGGAGAGTTTTGTTATCTATTGAGTTCTGCCTGATTCAAATATGAATTAGTCGGTGGTCCAAACCAAAAAAAAAAAAAAAAAGAGGAATAGTTTCTTCACTTCGAGGAAATACATAAAGTTATTTTCATGGAAAACCCATCCAAGAAAGAAAAGAAAACAGAAAAAAAGAAGAAGAAGAAGAAAAAAAAAAGGATGAGTCATATCCTCTTCGATGAAATATATTAGAAAGGAAACTCTTTTACCAATTTTTAACTCTCCTTTCCGCTTCCATCGATTTTATATTAGAAAGTAAAAAAGAGCTAGAGAGACATGCCTTTCCTGTCCAAAATACTAATCTTAAT